GCTGACCTCCAATTTGTTTTTCTTCCTCCTGGTTTTGTGTGTTCCCACCTTGTCTTGCTGTGGATTCGTGGTGGTGGTGGGGTTGTCATGGAACTGGGAATGCTGGTCTGGCCTCTCCTTGGCACTCCAGGTCAGCATTTACACAACAGTTTTAAGGAAGAACAAGGCAACCCTTTCCAGGGTGCTCTGTGGGACAACTGTAACTGCTGTGCCCCGAGGGAGGACAGGGAGTTTACACCTACTTGGGTTGTTTGTTTGTTTTTTAATGGAATCAGGGGACAAACCTCTTGAAATTTTCTAGCCACAGGACAAGCCTTTGCAGATTTTAATACAGAACAAGTGACCAGACAGGAAAAGCCATATTCCACCTGGGAATTAGGGAGACTGCCCAGCCCCAGCTGGGGGGGTCCAGCAAGGTTTGATCCCTCAGGCAGTCCATGGCCTGCACCCCCCCAGTCTGGGTTTGTAGCAGTGTGTTCAGGGCAAAACCTCCCCTGGAGGAGGGTCGGTGTGCACAGGGGGTTCAATCCCCCAGGACAGGGGTGCAGAACTGAACAGCTGGTACAGGAGGGGCAAAAACCCCCCCAGAATGGGTGTTTTGCCGAAGCTGAAGCCGCGGTGACGGGCCCAGGGGTGACAGAGCAGGGTCAGCAGGGCCGTCAGAGCACGGGAGGGAAACGTGGCACAGGGATTTTGTGTTTGTTTGCAGCACAAGCAGAAATCCAAAGGGCTCCATGGAAGGGCTGATCCGCCGTGTGGAGCTCAGTGGTGTTTAGGGAGCTTGTAAGGCCAAATACAGAGGAGAAATAGGATGTTCAAGGGGGGGTTTTTACTTGGAAAAATATTATGTCTTGAGCAGAACTGGACTTTTTTTAACTGAGCTGTCCCTGTGTGGGATGTCACGGGGGGAGGACGTGGACGCTGAGCCCGTGGGGTGCTGCAGCACCAGGAAATTATCCCTTTTTCTTTGCATTTTGCAGCAGGGGCAAGTTTTTTCTCTCCTTTTTCTAATCCCGAGGGCTGACCTTTGCAGTGTGTTCTCATCTCCAGTCTCTGTCCCACCCTTGGTGTGTCCTTCCAGCTCCGTGTTGTCTCCATGTGCTCCAGCGGGACCGGAACCCCACCTTGAACCTTGTTGTTTATTAACCCGGGTTTTAAAGACTGTTTTATATCCTTTGACATGAAATACTGATTAAAGCACCTTGCAGGACCAGGCTGGAGTGCTCAGCACCCCCAGAGCCTGGGAAGCAGGGACTGGTGCTGGGAATGGCTGAGTGACATTGCTGAACATTCCCAATCCTGCAGAACAGTGGGAATTAAGGTTTCAGTGAGGTAACAAAAAAATGAATTACACAAAGCGTGTCCAGTGGTGGAAAGCATGGGGTGGGGGGAGGAAGCTGGGAGCAAAACCAGGAGTTTGCCTCTTATGTTAACAACTATTCCACAGGTATCC